TTGATGACATGATCAGACAATCCGATAAAGATAAATAAGAGCCAAATATTGAGGAGGAAAGAGATGCGAAAGAAGATGTTGAGAAAGAACGTGAGCAAGAAGACCCTACAGCTAAAGGAAATAAAAATAACAATGAGTAAGCTAGTACTGAGAATAATGAAGAAGGTGTTAGACATAATTATGATATTATGTAGCTACAAACTAAAATAAATGACCAAAGTGAAGAAGAGGATAGAAGTGAAGAAGTGGCATATTATCATAAGACATCATAAGCATGGGAACAATATTAGGCAGGAGAATTACTGAAAATTCAAACCTTGGCATGCTAGGGATGTGTATAGGTCCTAGAATAGTAGAAATTTGAGCAATTACAAAGGAAGAAGATCTAAAAATATTTATAGCATGCCAGAGATCTAAACCAAGATAAAAAGCTCAAAAAAGAAGAAAAGCCCTACAAAGAAGAATAAATCAAAGAAGCCAAAAGGAAAGGACCACCATTATGTGTGACAGAAAATGTCATACTGCCTACCTAGCAGAGGCACATATGACCACTGAGTCTTCTCTAAAATTAAAGACCAATAAGATGAAATATGTCGTTCTTACTGAGATATAGGTTGGATTAGAAAACAAGGAAGCAAATGCTAAAAATGGCAAGAAAGACAAAGAAGTAAAGAAGAGGAAGAAAGCTTAAAAGGTAAAAGGAACAAGAACAAGCAACAGGCTTCAGGCCTAGCTCATATTGAAGCATCTGAATAATCAACCTAATAAAAGTTAATTTTAGTTTGAGTTTTAAGATTTAGTTTATGACATGCCACTACTTATCAAGTTCTCAAAAAAGACATTGTTCTTAATTTAAGTTTGGGTGTATGACACCTTGATTGTTGCTAGTATTTTGTTGATGTTTGTTGTATGACACCTTAAAAAATAATAAAACATTATGTAATAATTGTAACTTGGCAAGTGATTGTCACACCAGAAGAAGTTAGATAAGTGGTTAGTCTTTTAAGTAGTTTGAATTGCTCTAGAAAATGGAATAAGTTTTATTGTATGATTTAGTTTAAAGGAGAAAAACACTAATAAATATGACTATTTAAGAATAAGACTATTACAATTACAATTGCATGTTAAAAAAATAGAAAAAGAAATGTGAAAAGAAGTGAAAATGAAAAAGAACATGTTGAAAACAGAGCATGTACCCAAAACTAGAGGAATGGTAGGTGTTTTACTCTGACTAACAGGTTGGACATATTACAATTGAGATTCCTTCTACTGAAAAGGTGGAACACATAACAAAAGAGAACATAAAAGTAATGCAAGTAGAATTTCAAAATTCAAAAAAGAACTAAAAAGCCTCTAAATTAATATGCTAGTTAATCCCCCTTGTTGGAACTTAAAGCAGGCCCTTGGACCATAGGATATAGCAACCAAACTAAGGTTTAGGCTGATTATATTCAAATAAGACTTATAGCATGACATATGGAGACATGGGTTAAACACACACACACACACAGACACGTACACTAGTTGAGCATTAAGTTCATAAATAGTGAATTGTGCCAATGTTTGAATACAATCCCCTAGACATATTCTAGAGTGAGAAATGTGTTGTTGTTGATATATTCCTTACTTATTATTTATTTCTGCTCTTATTTGTTGCATCACCTAAGGACAAGTAAGGTTTCAAGTTTAGGGGTGTGATAACTCATTATTCGTGAGATATTTAAGTCTCTTATACTTCAAATTTAGAATAGAATTAAGTTTTATTAGTGTTATTTATTCATGCTTTGTTTGAATTTATTTTAATTAGTATAGAGCATATTAGGTGTTCTCTTTTGTTATTTTGTTTATGCAGAAGTAGCTCAGATGACAAGTTTTGTCATGCCATGATTTCATAAACACCATCCACCATGCCTTAAGTCAGAAGATGCTGGTATGACTTTTTAATCTCAGTAATAGGACTGACATGTCTGAGTCTTGAAAAAATAAATTAGGGTTGAGTTTAATGAGGTCAATGAATAAGGATGAGAACTACACAACAAACTCCAAAACATATGCTTTTGAGGCAATGATGGAGCTAGCCATTCACAATAGGTATGTTGTGAGACCTGGTGTCTCCTACAGGCGTTGCATACCAACCCAGTACATGTATTAACGGATAAAAAAGGAAATATGATTTATTCCTTGGGCCACATCAATGGATAGTCATATGGCCCGTGATCCAAACTCTAAAAGCAAACCTACAAGTGAAGAATTCTATAAAAGGACCTACATTAGAATTGAAAAAAGGGCTCATACATTGAAATTACTTGGAGAAAGATACTCCACCAAGAAGGAAGGAAAGTTGAACCAGATTCTGGCGCACCTCTCACCCTATCATTCATGAATGATATCACTCAGTCAGACATGAAACATCTTATCTCTTACTGGTTGAAGACTACAAGAAGTATAAGTTTCATTTTTAGGATTAAACTTTTTTCCTTGTTTAGAAATGTTAAGCTTGAAGTCATATGTTGATGTATTTCTTCTGCTCACTATGATCTAAAATCTTTATGTTGAGCAATGTAAAGTTTAATTAAAAGAAACCTTATCATATGTGATGTGATGTGATTTTAGTGATATATTTTGTCATATGTTTTAATGATATATGTTTATTACTTTGGCTGATCATCTTAGCAATAGACCAAAGTTATTAATGTTGAGGAATTCTTTAATAAGTGAAAATCATGACAAATATAGATAAAAAAAAGTAAATATGAATATTTGTCATCTAGGTACTTTAAAGATAAAGAACTAAAACTATAGGAGAAATCAAGACTCAACAAGGGCGTGCACTTATGCTATTGTGAGACATAAGAATTTGTTTCATAACTCTTTCTTGCATTTACTCTATCGTTGTAGGCATGCACCACTATGACATGTTCCTCATTTGTCACGACATATCCCATCACACTAACACAATATGTAAAAATAAACAAATGTATATTTACTTAACATGCTCTCAGCTCTAATAAACTTCCTTACCTTTAAGTTATTAATATTCATTCTAAACCTATGGCAACTACATCTACTATCATTCTCTGCTCATAACTAGTAACAACTTTTAATTTGGGAATCAACTTAAGTTAATGAAATCTTTGTGGACCACCTGTTATCGCTTTGACTGTGTATACTTGCACATACAAAAAACCTAACAGTTATGTACATTTTCCTCATACTTAAGAGATTTTCACTATAATTCAACTGATTACAACTTTGCAAATGTATCTTTTTGTCCAACTAACTTATACCTTAGATTTCTTAACCACAAATAAGTGACTCCAACTAAGTCTTTTTCATCTCTAAAAAAAATTCATCTACAACTTAGCCCTCTGAAAAAATACAATTAAATAACAGATAATTGTTTGTGTTTTCAAATATCACTCAACAAAAGATGTAAATAAAGTTAACCTCGAACACAAGTGTTTAATCTTTGGGTTAAATATATTTATGGTGCTCCTAAATATCTCATATTTCACTTTTAACCCCTCAAAAAATTTTCTTTAAAGAATGATCCTCCTAAAATTTTTATTCACAACCGTATTTATAGATGAAAAATTTTAAAAGGATCATTCTTTAAAAAGAAATTACGAGACTTAAAATTAAATAAGAGATATTTTTAAGGACCACAACAGTATTTAACTCTTAATCTTATAACAAAAATAAAGTATGTATACAAGTTTTTCTTTAAAAAAGTTGTTTTTTTCTTTAAGAATTGATTTTTTTTTTCTGTGTTTTCAAAAATGATTTTTATAAAAATGTTTTTCAAAATATTATAATTTTTTCAAATTCATTTTTTATAAATTGAAAAACTATATTTGACATACTATAACATAAATATACATTATTGAAGATCAAAACATAGTCAAATTCACAATTTTTTAAAATAAAAAAAGTATCTCAACATGATTTTTATGAAAAATTATTTGATGATTGTTTAAAATTTTAATATTAAAAAAAATTATAATAAGATAATGAAATATTTAAAATAACATTTTAAGAATAATTATTTAAACTAAATTTTTATTTAAATTTTTTTTTATAAAAAGAAATTCGATAAAACTATATTACACTATAAAAATCTTTTTTAAAAGAACTGAAACAAACGGCTTAAAATCATTTGATGCTTGAATTGATTCTTTTGTTTTTAGAGCTTATTTTAGGTATGTTTGTTCTTCAAAGTTTTTTTTGTTATGATTCCTAAAAAATATAATTGTTCTATTAAACTCTTCTTCAAAGTTATAAATAATATTGAGAGAATTTAAAATATATATATATATATATATATATATATATATATATATATATATATATATATATATATATATATATATATATATATATATATATATATATATATATATATATATATATATATATATATATATATATATATATATATATATATATATATAAGTTCCTTTATCTGACCGTTGTGTGAGCTTAACGTTAAAATAGCATTGTTGTGGTCCATGTATGTACTATTAGAACAAATTAATTCCACAACCTTGAACTCAAAGAGAAACTGTCGTACACTACATGATAATTTTGTCCTGCACAACAAACAATCTTGGATCTTTTTATCTTATTGCTACACGGTTTATTTAATATGAAATCCGAAACTCTAAATACCACACAGACATGACACCAATACAATAACATACATAATAGTTTAAAAAATAAATAAATTAAAAATAACTATAAATATCAGTGTCAAAATCTGACCTAAATTAAAACATGTTATTTTTTAGAGGTGTCGGTGTTACGCAATATTATTTTAAAATAAAGAAGATAGAAAAGAGGAAAAGGCTTAAACATTGCCCTGATTTTAAGGAGCAATATCACTCTCCATTTCAATTTCAACAAGAGTCACTAAACTTCTAACGCCAATTAAATAAAAGAGGCTTAATTCTTCTTTTACCGTTAAAGATCTATTGTTAGGATAGGATGGGTGCATGAGACATCTAACACAACAATCCAACAAAAAGAGATACAAGAGTCAAAGTAAATGAATGGGTCAACATCATCGTACTGTGGGACATGTCATCAGTGTACTCTTGTTCTCCGGAATATGAAATACTATAATCACCACCACCGTTTGGCGCTCTTGTCCACATTCCTAGATTGTTGTCCCTGTTCATTCACCACATCAATTATTTTAACCAAAATCCAAAACTTTAAAATTAAAAATGCAAGTCTTCATGGAGAATAGTGCACTTTACTTTTAATATGACAAAAGTTAAAAATAATATTCTTAGAAATCTCACTTGTTAAACTTTAAAAATAAAGGTTTGATGCAAAAAAACGTACCTAGCAACACCAAGAACACCCGCAGACATAGTAAGAGCAGAAATCCGATCAACCGTTTTAGGATCAACACTATAAGCTTTCTGAAAATTCCCTTCGCTCTCACTACCTGAATCAACAAAAAATGCACCATTCACCATAAAATCACCTTCCGATTTCCAATTCCATGTCGTCCATTCCCCTTCACCCGAATCCAACCTCTTCGTCACTTGCTTCGCATCAACATCCTCGGGAGCCGTATATCGGTTGCCTGATATCATCCGAAAAAAATTAGTTATAAGTTATTTTATATAATACATTGATTATTCGTTAAATTAAATTTAAAAAAAAAAATCTTTTATAAACAGAACACTAGTTAGTTAGTTACCTTGACTATAAATAGTGGGTCCTCCGCTTCCGCCAATAGCATACATTTCCCATCGCGTAAAATCATTATTTACGACATGAATGTATCCAAGTCTACAACGCGGCATTCTTTGAACTAACTGTTCTCCAAAATGGTTGAATGCTATAGTTACTTGCATGGCTGAATCTGGTTTGTAATGGTCACTGTGACCTAGTAACATAACCTCGTTGTGGTGTGAGAAATGGTTGTTAGAGATAGTTATCGCGGTTGAACCCATAACGGCGTCAATTAAACCGTCTTTGCAACGGGAGAGTGTGCAATGGTCTATCCATATGTTACTTGATCCGAATATAGAGATTCCATCTCCGTCTGACATTGTTCTGTATCCGTAGTGTTCTGGACTTGACCGCACATTAGTATTACCTTCACAAAGAATAACAACTTTTATTAGTAAAAATTTTAGAGTTAAATGATTTTAACCGTGCGGACGCAAGGATTTTTAACTAGTTTTACCAATGAATTTAGATCTTTGACAAAAAACAAAGTTGTCTAAAATTAGACACAATGTAACTCTCAATAGTTAACTTTTTTTAAAGTGCCCCACATGATAATGACAATAGAGAGAAAAAGCATGCACTACAATCACAATACACATCAAAAGGTGTGTATCCAAAAAGAGAAAAAGAAAAACCATGTTCTCACTAAACTATGTTATTAGATTAGAGATACAACAAAAAAAAGTGTAAAAAAATAAGACAGGTGAATGATTTTCTTACCAGATGGATGACAATGATGAACATGAATGTTATGTATAATAACATTACTAATATATTGAAGAGTAATGCACCCACCACCCACAATATGAACATCAGCGCCACGTCCATCAATGGTTTTAAAGCTGTTAAAAATAAGCTCTTGACACAACTCAATCATCATGTTACTTGGAAAAACAATCCACAATGGCTCATTCTGTATAACAGCGTATCTTAGTGTACCAGGCTTTGGGTTCACAGGATCATTGTCTGAGGAATCTGTCACAATGTAGAATTTACCACCTTTTCCTCCTTTGGCGTTTTGGCCAAACCCAATTGCGCAATCTGCTAACCTTTGACGATTGTTGGACCAATCTGCGTCGCATTTCCAACAATCGTCTATCGGGTTTCCTGTTTGACAGGAGGATGAGAAATCTTTGCTTGATATTGATAGCATTTCCCTTCTTCCCATTGATTCATTCACTTTCCTAAAATAAAATAAAAATGTATTAAACAATGAAGATATTTTTAGCTACTTTTACTAACACTAGCCATAATGTTACCGAAAATTGACTTATAAATGAAAAATTTTATGACCTTAAAAAATGAAACTTTTTGATGACCCAGATCTAGTATTTTTTTTCTTTACTTGTTTTGAGTAATGTAGGGTGTTAAAGATATTTGAGTACCTGTGGACTTCTATGGCAACAGATTCAGGGTCTGGATGTTGAGCTGGGAGAGTGAGGTTAAGCATTGATGTTCCATGGATGAAAAAGGAAGCAAGAAGTGAGATTAAGAAAATGCAGATTGTTTGGGTCATTGTGGATGGAGGGAAAGTTTTGAGTTTTCTTTCAGAGTGGTGAGTGGTGAGAAATGGGTTAGTGGTAGCTATGCTACTGGTAGTACTGTCACTCACTCACTCTTCATTAGTTGATGTGAATGGGTAAGTACTTCTTTCTACCATGGTTATTGGTATTGCTCCGTTATTATTTATTGATTATTTTAATACATAATGAAACTCCGTAATTAAAGGAATTAGTAATTGAAGGGGTGTAGTGTAGTGTGGAACGGAAGCATAGGATAATCACTTTTTTAATTAAGTTCTTTACACTATCTTATCTTATTTTTTACAAAAGAAAAAGGGATTAGTATATATGATCAAAATGAATTGCACTACTTCTTGATATTTCGTTATGAATCCTAACTTTAACAAAATTAGCGTGAAAAATAAATGTGAGTTATTCATAATTTTAATAAAATTAGTGTGGAAAACAAGTGTGAGTTGTATTGAGAAATAAGTGTGAGTTTTAAATTTCACGTTGTTTAGAAAAATGGAAGTTGAATATTTTATAAGTAAGAGGATTCATGCACCTATCACTTTAAGGTTTTGAATAAATATGTAGTGTCTATCTCACTTGTTTATGTGAGTTTTAAATTTTTAGATAAATGTTTTGTTGAATGTTAATCCATAATTGTCTTGTGTACAAGTTAGTTAGTTAGTTACTTTGTGTATTGCTGACTTGCTTAACAAGCTATTGTGTAACACGTATAAATAACATTTTGTAATGTGAAAAATAAATAAAATGAGAATCATCTATATTCTCTCTCTTTTTCTCCTCCAAGATGTCAAAAAATTAGAGTGTCTATGTGTGCTATTTCTTTCATCTTGTAATTACAATCTTGTTGTGCATTAATTGTGTGTTCTAACAATTGACATCTAGAGCATGGGTCAATCCAAGGGAAACACGAGTGAAAAATGAGGGGTTTAATCCAAGAGAAACACTAAGTGATAGTTTCTTAATAGACAAGATGAATAGCAATGGTTTTGGATCAAATATTATGGTTCTTGATGGCAAGAACTGGGATCGTTTTAGTGTTTTGATGAAATCTTTATTTGGAGCGCAAGAAGTGAGTGAAATTGTGCAAAATGGCTATGAGAATTTGGTGGCGAATCAATTGATGCACATATAATTGCATTCAAGGAAGCCAAGAAGAAAGACTGCAAAGCTTTGTTCTACATTCAGCAGAATGTTGACAATCAACACTATGAGAAGATTTCTAAGGCGACAAGATCCAAAGAAACATGGGACATTTTAGAAAATTATCACACTGGTGGAGAAAAGGTGAAGCAAGTGAAGCTACAATCCCATAGAATAAAGAATGAGATGATGCAGATGGAAGAAGATCAGAAAGTAAGTGATTACTTTTCAAAATTAACAGCCATTGTTAATCTGATGCAAACTTGTGGTGAGAACATTACAGATCAAATGGTAGTAGAAAAGGTGCTGAGATATTTGAGTCTAAAGTTTGATTTCATTGTTGTATTTATCCAAGAAGCAAAGGATGTGAAAACTATGAAAATTGAAGAGTTACAAAATACATTTGAAGCACATGAGCTCTTGGTGCTTGATAGAAGTTCTGAGAGATAAGTACAACAAGCATTTCAAGTTTAAACGTCCAAGAATGAGGGAAATCATAAGAATTTCAAGAAGAATGAAAAAAAAAAGCAAATTGGTCCAACAATGAAAAGAGCAAGAGTGAAGAAAAAGTTGAATCTTCAAAGAAATGAGGCTTTGGCAGATGTCAGAGCAAGAAAAGGGAGTTTGACAAAAGTAAGGTGCAATGCTTCAACTGTGAGAAGTATGGAAATTTTGCTGATGAATGATGGTTCAATAAAGGTCAAAAGATTGATGAAGAAGCAAATTTAGCTTGTGGAGATGATTCCAGTACAGTGTTGATGATGGCTACTACCAGTGACGAAAAGGTGAAGAATGAAGAATGATTTCTTGACTCTGGGTGCTTAAATTACATGACATCACATAGAGAATAGTTGACAAGCTTTGATGTTAGCAAGAAAACAAGCACCAAACTAGCTGACAGTAGAGATCTTGTGGCTGAAGGTAGTGGAAATATAGTGATCAGAAGCAATGATGGTAAGAGAATCATTATTGAAGATGTGATGTATGTTCCTGAGATGAAGTGTAATCTCATGAGCATTGGTCAATTGGTGGAGAAAGGATTCTCAATGACTATGGATGGTGACTCTTTGAAGTTGTTTGATGCAAAGAAGAATTTGGTGCTTAAATCAAACATTCAAAGAATAGAACATATAGATACAACATCTCAATTGAAAAGATGACGTGCATGTCTGTAGCAGTGATTGAAGATGTTGAAGATTTATGGCACAAGAGGTATGGTCACCTAAACTTTAGAAGTCTTAGTGATTTGAATTCTAAAGAACTGGTGTATGGCTTTCCAAAACTAAATGTCAGAAACGCCATTTGTAAAGTATGTGTAAAGAGCAAACAAAGTAGGCTTTCCTTTGTTTCTGAAGCACCTAAAAGAGCTAGTGTAGCACTGCAGGTGGTTCACTCTGATATATGTAGTCCTTTTGAACTATCTTCATTAGGGGGAAGTAGATACTTCATCATATCTATTGATGAATGTACAAGAATGATATGGTTGTATACAATTAAGCTTAAGAGTGTGGCTTTAGATGTATTCAAAAAATTAAAAATCTTAATAGAAAAGGAGAGTGATGAATCTATTAAGATCTTGAGAACTGATGGTGGGGGAGAATACACCTCAAAAGAATTTGAAGCCTTCTGTCTCAATCAAGGCATTATGCATGAGGTAACAACTCCCTATACACCTCAACATAATGGACTTGTTGAGAGACGGAATAGAACTCTACTGAGTATGGCAAGAAGCACGATCAAGCAGAAAAACCTACCATACAAGTTTTGGGGCGAAATGGTCACTACAACTGCTTACATTCTGAATAAATATCCTACAAAGAAGCTGGATTTGAAGGTACCCGAGGAAGCTTGGTGTGGAAGAAAGCCTAGTGTGAAGCATTTCAAGGTTTTTGGCTCTTTGTGCTATAAACATGTACCAAATGTTAGAAGAAGCAAGCTTGAAGATAAGAGTGAAAATATGATACTTATAGGATATCACCCAATAGGTGCCTATAAGCTGTATAATCCTATAATTCAAAAGGTACATGTCAATAGAGATATGATTATGAATGAGGCTGAGAAGTGGAAATGGGAAGAGGAGCCAGTATACAGTAAAGAGAATCAACAAAGCTGAACTTATCTTGATTCAAGTAATGAATCAAATAATGAATAAGTGAACAATAATGATGCATATGAACTAGAAAAGAGAAAGCATTTGTGAGACCTCAAAGAACCAGACAAGCTCCAAGAAGGTTGAATGATTATGAAGTAATTCCTGATAATGTAGTAAATGATGAAGGTGATATCATTCACTATGCATTATTGGCAGATGTTGAACCTCTCAATTACAAAGAAGCACTGAAGATAGATGTATGGAGGAAGGCCATGATGGAAGAGCTCAATTCAATTGAGAAGAATCAGACCCGGGAGCTAGTTAACTTGTCAGATAAGAAAAAGAAAATAGATGTAAAGTGGGTGTTCAAACTGAAATTAAATCCTGATGGAAAATTTCAAAGTATAAGGAAAAGTTGGTGGCTAGAGGCTTCTTACAAAAACATGGTGTTGATTGCAAAGATGTGTTTGCTCTAGTTACAATGCTTAAAACTGTAAGGTTAGTTGTGGCTCTAGCTTGCAAGAGAACATGGTCACTTTATCATTTAGATGTGAAATCAAAATTTCTAAATGGTCCACTTGAAGAGGTAGTGTTTGTGTCACAGCCTCCTGGTTTTGAAGTGCAAGGCAATGAGAATATGGTGTATAGACTCCATAAGGATTTGTATGGTTTGAAGCAGGTCCCTAGAGCCTGGAATAAGAGGATTGATCGGTTTCTGATACAAATAGGTTTCAAAAAGTTTTCAGCAGAGATTGGTGTGTATGTGCAAAGTTCAAGTGAAGAAAAGACTATGATAATCTGCCTATATATGTGGATGATTTGCTCATTACAGGAAGCAAGACATCAAAAATTGAAAAGGTGAAAAAATTGAAATATGAATTTGAAATGACTGGTCTAGGGGAACTCTCATTCTTCTTAGGAATGGAGTTTCTGAAGGTGAAGAATGGAACAATTATGCATCAGTACAAGTATCTAGGTGAACTGATTGCGAAATTTGAAATGAATAGATGCAATTTAATTTCAAATCCATCAGAGACAAACTCAAAAGTGGATGAGTGCAGTGAGGAAGAAAGAGTTGATCCAACATTTTTCAGAGAAATGGTTGGTTCATTGAGATACTTGTGCAACAACAGGCCAGGAATTTGCTACTCAGTCAGTGTGATTAGCAAGTTCATGCATGATCCAAGGAAGAATCACTTGATAATTGCTAAAAGGATACTTAGGTATATAAAAGGCACAAAGGAGTTTAGTCTGCTATTCCCAAATAGAAGCAAAGGTGAAAGAAGTGAACGCATTGGATACTTAGATAGTGATTGGTGTAGAGACATCATAGATAGAAGAAGTACCTCTGGATATGTTTTCAAGTTCAATGAGGCAGCTATATCATGGTGTACAAAGAAGCCAACAGTGACTGCACTTTCATCTTATGAGACATAATATATTGCAGGAATATTTGCAACTTGTCAAGCAATGTGGTTGGATTCAGGGATGAAGGAACTGAGGTGTGAAGTAATGAAGCCTCTGATACTCAAAATTGATAACAAGTCAACTATTAGCCTTGCTAAAAATCCAATCTCACATGGAAGAAGTAAACACATCGATACAAGGTTTCATTTCATTAGGGAGAAAGTGAACAATGGAATAATTGAAGTGCAATATTGTCCAACTGAAATGCAACTGGCAGATGGTTTTACAAAGGCTTTAAAGCTTGACAGATTTGAGTTTTTGAGAAAGAAACTTAGTGTTATG